TCTTGGCAGATATTTTGGATATGACACCAAGAGCACAAGCAAAAAAAGCAAAAATAAACAAGTGGGATTGCATCAAACTAAAAGCTTCTGCATGGCAACAGAAACAATCAACAGACGAAGAGACAGTGGAGTGGAAGACATTTGCAAACCATATATCAGATAAGGGGTTAATATCCAAAATACATAACGAGCTCATATGACTGAATACCAAAGAAACAAATAATGTGATTAAAAATAGGCAGAGGACCTGAATAGACATTTTCCAAAGAAGACATACAAATGGCCAACAGGCACATGAAAAGATGCTCAGCATCACTAATCATCAGGAAAATACAAATCAAAACCACAGTGAGATGTCACCTCTCATCTGTTAAATGGCTATTAACCGAAAAGACAAAAGGTAACGAGTATTGGCAAGGATGTGGAGGAAAGGCAACCCTAGCACACTGTTGGTAGGAACGTAAATTGTTGAAGCCACTATGGAAAACAGTATGCAGGTTCCTCAAAAATTAAAAATAGAGCTACCATATGATCAAGCAATCCTGTCTCTAGGTATATATCTGAAGGAAATGAAATCACTATCTTGAAGGGATATCTGCACCCTTACATTCATTGCAGCATTATTCACAATAGCCAAGACGTGGAAACAACCTAAATGTCCATCAACGTATTAATGGATAAAGAAGATGTGGTATGTGTGTGTGTGTGAGACCATTATTCAGCCGTAAAAAAGAAGGAAATCCTGCTATTTGTGACAACATGGATGGACCTTGAGGGTGTTAGGCTAAGTGAAATGAGTCAGGTAGAGGAAGACGAATACTGTATGATCTCACTTATATCGGAACTTAAAGAAAACCAGATGCAGAAATAGAGAGTAGAATGGTGGTTGCCAGGAGCTGGCAGGTGGGGAACCTGGGGAGATGTTGGTCAAAGGGTGCAAACTTCCAATTAGAAGATGAATAATTCTGGGGGATCTAATATTCAGCATGGTGACTATCATTAATAATATTGTACTTTGTACTTGAAAGTTGCTAAGGGAGTAGATCTTAAATGTTCTTACTACAAGAAAAATTGTAATTATGTGAGGTGATGGATGTGTTAACTAACCTTGTTTTTCTAATCATTTCACAATAAACATGCGTGTCAAATCATCTCATTGGATACCTTAAACTTACACAATGTTATATGTCAACTGTTTCTCAATAAAGCTAGAAAATTTTTTTTAAATTATACATTGTATAGATTAACTTATAGATTTGCCAAAGCTTGAAATCTGAGTTTGATCAAGCTTTGGGATCCAGCTGCAAATTAGTAGGAAATACTGAGGGTGGAGGAACAAGTTGAATTGCACCGTGAGAATGCAGTTGGCAAAATCCATATTGTGGGAAACTCTGCAGGTCAAGTGGCCCATGTTTTCTTAGATGGATAAATTAAAAGAAAAAGAATGGACAGGGAACTTGATTAAAAGATCTTAAAGACATATCAAGTATTAAAAAATGAGCAAGACCAAACAATATCAGGATGGACACTTTGAGTGATAAAAATTTAAAGAAACATAAGGAAGTGATTACTATAAAAGCCAAATAGTGGTTTCTTTTGGGGGAAGGAAGGGAGTGGTGATTGTGGGGTGATACAAGGACGGATTTCTGGAGGGATGGCAAAGGTCTGTGTCTTGACCTGGGTGGTGGTTACAAGGATGTTGGCCTAATAATATGCATTTGTTTTGTGTGTTTTTTCTGTCTTTACTTTATAATAAAAGTTTAAAAATAGAAGATATTTTAAAGAAAATAGCACATACTATATCTTCTTTAATGATATTCATGTTATTTTCTAGACTGTTCAAGTTCTGAGAAATTCTGCCATAAATAAACTTGTTTTCTTTGTTTAAATGCTCTCTCTCGCTCTCTTTCTCTCAAAACCAAATATAGAATGCTTAGGATATACTGGAGACACTAGGTAAAACATCTGATTGCCTCAAGGAGGAGTTTTAATCTTACAACAGCTCCTATCCTAGGTTAAGTACCTCTCTAGAAATTTTGACACTGATTATACCCCATGTGCCTGACACGTGATTTCAGCCACATGGCCCATCTGAGGGCTTTGTCCCGCTGGAGCTGGGTTATCCTCCCTCCAGCAGAGCAGATTTGTTGAATCCAACAAAAGGGGATTCAATATCTCTCTGCTTGCAACAAATGTTTTGTTTTGTTTGGCCAAAATCATTTTCAGTTTTATAAATTTGTACCATAAGGATCTAGTGAAGATTTAGAGGGGCTGTCTGTGTGGGACTCTAGACAATGGTCAGAGTAGTCTGGCCGCTCAAATAGCCCGTCATGTACCTTGTGCATGAATACTGAAGGCTTGCAATACTTTTTGGTACCATCACTGTTAGTCATCGCGTGATACAGGAGTATTTTATTCAACGAACACTGCAGACTTCTGAACTACAGGGGCTGGGGTGCCTTCTGCGTGGAACACTGCACAACTCCAGCTGCCTTTGTGGCCTCTATGTTCAGTAATGCTGCCCAGCTCACTTTTTACCTCTTTCCAGAGATCCCCTGTCATCATTCCTGTGATGGTCAATTTTATGTGTCAACTTGACCTGGTTAAGGGATGCCCAGATAGCTGGTAAAACATCATTTGTGGATGTGTCGGTGAGGGTGTTTCTGGAAGAGATTGGCATTTGAATCGGTAGACTGAGTAAAGGAGATCCCCTCACCAATGTGGGTGGACACCACCCCATCCACTGAGTGTGGCAGAGGAAGGGTGAATTCAGGCTCTGTGAGCTGGGACGTCCATCTTCTGCTCTAGGTCATTGCTGCTTCTGGTTCTCACGCCTTTGGCCTTGGAGCGGGACTTACAGCGGCTCCTTTGGTTCCCAGGCCTGCGAGTTTGGACTGGAATTATAGTACCAGCTTTCCTGGATCTCCACCTTGCAGACTGTAGATCATGGGACTTCTCAGTCTCCATAATTGGAGGCTAATTCCTCATAATAAATCTCTCTCTATATATATCCTATTGGTTCTGTTTCTATGGAGAACCCTGACTAATATAATTCCTTCATCCCAGGAATGCAACAAAGTAAAATTAATAGTGAGTCCTTGTTGCAGAGACTTGAGGATACTCAATTTTTATAAATACTCCGTCAATATTTAGTTATATTCACCAGCAGCAAACAGTTCACTTGTAAACAGGAAAAAGGGTATTCAGCAGTGTGTAACTCAAACAGTGCGTATGCTTATGTTTTTCTCTTAATTTTTTGCTTTCCTTTTAAAAGTGTATATATTTTTCACTTTAAAGTAATATGAACCTATTACAGAAAAACTTGAAACATGAAAAAATATTTCTATATTCTCACCACTGTAATACAATCATGGTTATAACTTTGTATATTTCCTTCTAGTCTATTTTGGTGTGACTATTTTTTCATAGTTGTATAAAACGTGCATGTAATTGTATTTTTTTCTTTTTAAATTTAACCTTAGGTGATTATGATATTATATACATATTTCCATGTTGCATTGTTATCACAACAGCAATTTTTTTACTGCATTCAATTTCATTTGACTCTATCATACTTTTTAACTGTTAATTTATTTTTGGTTAGTGTTTTCCCCCCTACATTTGAGCAAATATATTTTTGTGCAGTGTATAACATTATGCACGTTGCTCTTTGGTTATTGTTGCTCTGAATTTTTAAGGTAGAATATTAGCAAGTGTCAAGAATTTCAGTAAACTTCCATCTAATTTTTCTTTCAGCTCTGTCATCAAACCTAACAAATCTCGTGATTGTAGAAGTAGGAGGCATAAATTAATTTGCCGACTATTGTACTTCTCAAGACCTTAATTATGTATGACTTAATAAGGCCACATGAAACTTGAGTGAGGCAGTCATCTTGTTTACATCTAGAAATTGGTCACAGAATAGCGGTTGTGGACAGTGTAGAAACTCACGGTGGAAAATGAAGGTTTTTTAATTTGGAGCCCAAGGACATACAATGCAACATTTTCGATGTGTGTAAGTATGTGCATTCTTGGGAGATGGGTCTGGGTTTTTGTCATGTGTTCAAAGGAATCCAGTAGCTACTAGTGTGGGCATAATGTTTGCTAGTTGAGTGGAATGTTATTTTTGTGTTTCTTTGTCCTTGTTTCCTCCTTCCTTGCCTTCTCCCTTCTCTCTCTTTCCACATTCGTTATATTCAGTAATATAACTCAGAAAAATGTTCTTTTTGGTGAGCAGTGATTTATCACCTGAAAATTTATAATGACTTCAGTTTTTAAAAACTGAACACATATGTGAAACTGTTAATTAAATACTGTGTTAATCTGTGTTGATTCTGGGAAGTTTTCCCATTTCAAGCAGTAATTTAGTGTTACCTTTCTTGGTTAGAATTGTTATTATTATTATTATTGGTGAGGAAGATTGGCCCTGAGCTAACATCTGTGCCCGTCTTCCTCTGTTTTGTATGTGGGATGCTGCTACAGTGTGGCTTGATGAGCGGTGTGTAGGTCCACGCCCATGACCCAAACCTGCAAACCGCAGGCCGCTGAAGCATAGTGCATGAACTTAACCACTACACCACTGGGCCAGCCCCTAGAATTATTTTTAAAGTTTTACCTAGATGCTGATCATTAAATAGGTTACTACTATTAAAACAAGCTATTATGTTTCGACGAGTCTGTAATGAATTGAGTGTGGAAATCATTCATCAAATGCAGCTATCTTTTTACTATGTTATTTTGAAAGGTGTAGCTTTACTAACTCTATTAAAATTTGAGGCTTTCTACGTTTTTGCACAACTAAAGCAAGAGGCATTCTATGCAGAAAACCCTAAATAAAATTAGTTTTAATTGTTAGAAACGCCTTTAAAAGATAAAATCTCTGTCATTTTTTATTACCAAATGACGGGAACAACTTCCCTTCCAGTGGAACAGGGCTTCTAATATGCAATGACCACCTTGTTTTTGATAAAGGACTAATCAATATCTTATGTTTTCCTTAGGAATGGGTTGTTTCTGGGGAGCCGAAAGGAAATTCTGGACCCTGAAAGGAGTGTATTCCACTCAAGTTGGCTTTGCAGGAGGCTACACTCCCAATCCTACTTATAAAGAAGTCTGCTCAGGTAGGAAGAATTTGTTCCGTCATATTGCTAGGAACGAGGAAGGGCGTGCACCTGCTGGAAGGCGATAAGATCTTTGAAATGGACATATAGTTTTTTGTGTGTTTCCTCAGTCTCTCTTTCTCATTTCTGTAAATACACTTGTTGGCCTCTCACTTTATATTTGTGGAAGATAATAAGCTTCCTATGGAATGTATCATTTAGTTTTTGCTGCAGAACAATCACCTCAAAACTTAATCCCTAAAATAGTCATTTACTAGCTTATGATTCTAGCAATTTAGGCTGGGCTCAGCTTGGCGGTTCTTCTGCTGGTCTCATCTGGGCTCACTCGTGTGATACCCGTCAACTAGTGGGCTGCCTGGGGACCAGTTGGTCTAGGATGGCTTCATTCATATGTCTGGCAATTGGTGCTGGCTGTCAGTGCTTGCTGTTGGCTGGGCTGATGGGGATGATGGAACACGTATGACCTGGGCTAATTCACATGGTGGTGGGTGCAGAGATCCCAGGAGTAGCAAGGGAGGACAAGCCTCATTCTGCTAGCACTTTTCCGGCCTCTGTTGTGTCACATTTATTATCACCCCATTGGCCAAAGGAAGTCACACGGTCTAGCCCAGAGTCAATATGAGCGGGACTCTCCACAGGCAGGTGTACAGGGAGATGCAAAGAAATTGGTATCATTACTGCAACAGTCAACCACATGAGACAAACATGTTGTATATCAGACATGTTTTCTTGAGGGAAAACATTAAAAGCCAGGCTCTAATGAAGGGATTGGCAAACTGTGGCTTGCAGACTAAATCTTGCCCACTGCTTGTTTGTGTAAATAAGGTTTTATTGAAACAAAGCAATACCTATTTATTTATATGTTATCTATAAATGCTTTCATGCCACAGTGGGAGAGATGAATGGATGTGACAGAGACTGTATGGCCTGCAAAACCTGCAATATTTATGATCTGGCTCTTTATAGAAAAAACAGTTTGCTGACCAGGTTAGGCAGATACCCCCATGGCAAATTCTAGCTCAAATACTAGATAACCTCTCTGGATTTTTTTTTTATTTCTGACCTTCACAGATTTCTTTTACTTTTCTTCCAGCTCAGGTAACATTTAAAACACATTTTTTTCTCTTTAATTTCTTTTGTTTTTAAAATAAAGATGGTGTATATTTAAGGTGTACAACATGATGTTTTAATATACATAGTGAAATGATTACTATAGTCAAGCTAACTGACATGTTCATCTCCTCACAGACTTTTTCTGTGGTAAGGTACCTTTGATCCACTCGCTCAGCAAATTTCAAGTATACAATACAGTATTATGAACTATGCCACCATGGTGTACATTAGGTCTCTAGAATAATTCATCCTACATAACTGAAAGTTTGTACTCTTTGACCATTATCTCCCCATTTCCTCCTACTCCTGCCCCTGGTAGCCACCATTCTACTCTCTGCTTCTAGAACTTTAATTGTTTTAGATTCCACATATAAGAGAGATCATGTAGGGCTTTTTTTTCCCCCCAGGAACGCAATCAATGTTCTAAACTGTGTTTACATTGATTGAATAGGTAGATACAGAAACCAATTAATTTAACTCCGTTTACTTAAAAAAAATTTTTTTAAATTTGAGTTCATAGTAGTTTACATCATTGTGAAATTTCAGTTGTATGTTATTTCGTGTCTGTCACCACATAGGTGCTCCCCTTCACCCCCTGTCCCCACCCCTTATTCCTCTTCCCCTGGTAACCACTGAACTGTTTTCTTTGTCCATGTGTTTGTTTATATTCCACATATGAGTGAAATCATCTGGTGTTTGTCTTTCTCAGTCTGGCTTATTTCGCTTAGCATAATTCCCTCTAGGTCCTTCCATGTTGTTTCAAATAGGATGATTTTGTCTTTTTTTTATGGCTGAGTAGTATTCTATTGTGTATATATACCATGTCTTCTTTATCCCATCATCGTACGATGGGCGCTTGGATTATTTCCATGTCTTGGCTATTGTGAATAGTGCTGCAATGAACATAGGGATGTGTATGTTGCTGCAATGAACTCAGGGATGCGTGTGGATTGTTGATTTCAGGTTGTTTGGGTAGATACTCAGTAGTGGGATAGCTGGGTCATACAGTATTTCTATTTTTAGTTTTTTGAGGAATCTCCATACTGTTTCCCATAGTGGCTGCACTAGTTTGCATTCCCACCAGCAATGTATGAGGGTTCCCTTTTCTCCACACCCTCTCCAACATTTATTATTTTTAGTCTTAGTGATTATAGCCATTTTAACAGATGTAAGGTGGTATCTTAGTGTAGTTTTGATTTGCATTTCCCTGATGATTAGTGATGTTGAGCGTCTTTTCATGTGTTTATTGGCCATCTGTATATCTTTTTTGGAAAAATGTTCATATCCTCTGCCCATTTTTTGATTGGACTGTTTTTTTGTTGTTCAGTTGTGTGAGTTCCTTGTGTATTATGGAGATTAACCCCTTATCAGATATGTGATTTGCAAATATTTTCTCCCAATTGATGGGTTGTCTTTTTGTTTTGATCCTAGTTTCTCTTGCCTTGCAGAAGCTCTTTAGTCTGATGAAGTCCCACTTGTTTATTTTTTCCTTTGTTTCCCTTGTCTGAGAAAACAGAGATCATTCAGGTTTTTTTCCTGTGGCTTATTTTACTTAGCATTACGTCCTCCAGGTTCATCCATGTTCTTGGAAATGTCAGGATTTCCTTTATTTTTAAGGCTGAATAGTATTCCGCTGTATATGTATAACCATGTCTTCTTTATCCCTCCTCCGCTGATGGACACTTAGGTCGTTTCCATATCTTGGCTGTTATGAACAGTGCTGCAGTGAACCTGGGAACACAGATATTTCTTCAAGATACTGATTTTGTTTCCTTTGGCTACATAACCAGAAGAGAGGCTGCTGGATCATAGGATAGTTCTGTGTTTAAATGTTTGAGGAACGTTCATACTGTAAAACACATTTTTTAAAGTACAGTTTATTCACTATCTTAAGAGTTCTTAATTGGGAGGGTTTATCTAGATATATAGCCCACCATGTTGACAGTATTGGAATTGAAAAATATGTAAACAGTTTTATCTTTCTAAAATAAAGGTTTGAATTGGCATCATTTGTGCTGGGCCCTCTCAGCTCTCAGGGCCCCGGGAATGAAGGCGGTGGAGGAGTTGGAGAATGAGAGTTTGTTCAATAGTGAGCATGTTGATTTGTTTGCTACAGTACGAATTCTGATTTTTAAATGAAATTTGAGCTGTGCAACAATGAAAATATTATAAAAATCTACATATTCTTGTTTTTCTTTCCTCTAGAGAAGAATGGAAATATTCTAATTGGTATTGAGAATGTGGAACGTCAAACAAATGTTTTAATGGTTAATCCCTGTTTTTTTTGTTGCTTCTATTTCAAAATTAAACAAATGCTTATGCAGAGCTATAAATAGAGAGAGCCAGATGAACCCGGGAGATTGCCCAGGTGTGTCCTCTTAAGTCTCAGGAACGGAAATGAATGGATTCCTTCCTGTAATTGCAGACATGACTTAATAGCCTAAGAGGAAAAGTTGCTCAGAAAATCCCCAAATATCTGCTACTGATACCGTTATTCTCCACCAGCAAAATGCTGACGACCAGTCAGAAGATCGGGAGTGCTTGTTTGCTCAAACTCTTCCTGTTCAACTCCTGCCTTCACAATGACAACAGGATAATTTCCCTTTGTTGACCTCCTACTGTGTACCAGATGCTAGGACACGCGCTTTCTGAATCTTTGCTTTTTTTTCCCATCTAATCTTCCCAACAGCCCCATGAAGCGTCTCAGGTTCTGTCTTTTGCAGAGGAGAGTGTTGAGGCTCAGAGAGGAAAAGTGACTTACCCAAGGTCATCTGTAGCAGGAATCCCAACCTCATTAGCTTGCAGCTCAAAGTGGACGCCATTGACCATGGTGTAAGTCACCCAGCTGTCATCGTGTCCCAGGGACTCTCCGTTCATCTTTTCACACTTCCCTTCACCAAGTCACACAATCTCTTTCATGTCTGTCCCTCTACTGTACTTTTTAATATATTTTTGTGCTTTTTAATGGTTACTAAGGAAAATTGCAAGCAGTTTTTTTTTTTTGTCTTTCTGATGCTTAGAAGGAAAAAGGACAAACCCTTTTAAGATACAGTTCATGCAAACAGCCGGTGTGTTAGTGGCCTGTAGCAATGGTGAAGTACAGAAACCACGGAGGCTGGTAAAGAACTTGCTGTTTGATGTGAGCACTGCCTGCTAAGTTAGCGATGGCATCGGGAAGCATGGTTGTCATGGAAACGTGTTCCTGATTGGGAAGAGATAGTTATAGGGTCTTACCCAGACACAGAAGGAGAGATGATTTCTTTCCCCAGGCTTTTTTGTTCTGATCATGAAAGGGAAAAACAAAAAGGCAGAGAGAAGCTGTGATAGAAAGGTCCCTCTGGCACAGAAGTGATAGAGCCTCAGGTCCCTGGGAATAGCAGGGAAGGAGAACAAACAAGGTCCCTAGCTAGAGTAATTATGGTAACCAGCTAATTAAAGATTTTTGACTGAGAGGATGGGGAGACAGAAGGCAGGTTATACTGGTGAGGCCTCCCCTCTGAGGCCTCGGGTGCTCAAAGCCTTGTTGAACAAGTCAGCCCTGAAGGAGTCTGCCTTGCAAGAAAGAAAAACCAAGTCTCCGCTAAGATGCGGAGTAATAATTGCTGAGGTTTTGTGTGAGAGAAATACTAGTCTCTGCTCCAGTATTTGCATTAATTTCAAAATTGCTTACTCTTGTAATTAAGTTTGTAAAACTTTGGTCACAATCAGGGGTCTTTTGTAAAGGTATTTATTTATTTATTCACTCATTCAAGAGAAGAAGGCTAAGGACCTGGACTGCGCGCCGGATTCCTTCTCTCATACCGCAGTACACTTGAGCCTAAGGTATCATTTGGTTTCCTGGGGCAGGTGCCAGAATTATAGGAGTAGCACTCTGGAGGGGGTTCCCA